AAAAAGCATCCTTTGTTTCACCTGAGCAATAAACCTCAAGGTAACTGACACCTGAGGATGCTGTCTTTTCCTTCGCAGAGACATTATACTGCAATCTAACTCATATATTACCTCGATAATATCAGAGATCCACAAATCTGTCATGCATATTGACTTTAGGTCAGGAAACATCAATAAACTATTTGCAAAGTACGCTCAAAGTATGCATGGCTGGGATATTTTATATGTTCTCCAATCATAATAAAATTTGAGTTCTATGCAGTTCAGGCTGATCTGATTCTCACTGGTGATTTTTTCTTGCATGCAAACCCTTAAGAAGATTTTAAATTTTAAAGCCAACACGTGAATTTCACAATAAGTGTATGTGTTTTAATATATCTGTGTGTTTGCGGACTGTAAATGCTGCAGGTTGAGTGTGCTCTTTCTGAAAAAGTTATGCAAAACATGCTGTTAGGAGTTTATAAGCATGCATTACAACACATGTAAAAAAATTTTGAGTGCATTTGATAATTATTGCATAGCACTATATGATGACTATTGTTACTGTACAAACCTGTATTGTTGCTCCTAGGGGCCTCAGTGCTGTTCATCCCCGTCTTGGTGGCAGGTGGAGTGGTGCGATGAAATATGGGACTGACCGAAGACCCTTCATGTGGCGTAAAAGTCCGAGCCGAGCTCCACGTCACAGACCACAGCAGGAAGTCCCAGGTGAGGCGGCTCTCCTTCAAAGCCATCGAAGTTTGCTGAAAAATAAGATGGAAAGTGTGAATGTCAGTCGCTCATGTCCGCTGGTCCTTGGCGACTCCAGAAACTCTCCTGCGCTTCAGAAGCCAAACGCAGGCTGTTCTCTCAGGGACAAAGAGAGAGAGAGAGGGGGAGAGAGAGGGAGTTACGCTGACTCTCATGCAGCGCTGCTGTGTGTTTGTCCTCCGTTGCTGTTCCACTGCTGATTATGAACCGCTTGCGTAATGCAATTAGACATTAGACGGCAGAGCTGCGCTCGTTTCTGCAGTCAATCACACATCCTCATGTACATGTGCACTGCTCTGCTCTCTCTCTCTCTCTCTCTCTCTCTCTCTCTCTCTCTCCCACGTGATTACAAGGCTTTAAAGTGCTGGCATATTTACTAGTAAATTTTAGCTCTAAATAATTATGGTAAACCCTAACCCTCCTCCAAACTAAAATCCCAGTTGCATCATATTTTTATAATACATAATTTTTTTTTTTTTTTTTACATTTTTATAATAATAATAATAAAGTAAACTATGCAACAACAGAAAAGGAAGTATGGGATCATATTATATATTTAAAATAATTATCTTCTGCTCACCGAGGCTGCATTTATTTGATCAAAAATACAGTAAAAATAGTAATATTGTAAAATATTATTAAAAATTTTAAATAACTGTTTTCTATTTGAACATATTGTAAAATGTAATTCATTTAAATGTATTTAATTTACTCCAGTCTTCAGTGTCACATGATCCTTCAGATATCATTTATTATCAATGTTATTATTATGTCTTTATTATTATTGTCTATTATTATTACCAATGTTGAAAACAGTTGTGCCGCTTCATATTTTTGTGAAATATACAATATTATATAATAAATTATATATATAATGTATGTAACATATGCAATATTACAGTATCTAATAAGTTATATATACACACACACACACACACACACATACATTTATAAATAAATTAACTAACTAATTTAATAATAATAATAATAACATCAAATAATAACTTTTATTACACATATAATAAATGTAGTATAATTATATAGTATATTTCATATATTTCATATTCCAAATAATTTTTTGTTCTCAAATCAGTGTCAATAAACAGCTGACAACGTACCCCATAATGTTCACATGTGTGCCCCGTAATGTGCCAGCATGACCCCAAAAATGTGTGACAACTCATTCCCGTCTCTCGGCTGGGTTATTTTTCTTTTTAACCCAGCACTTTTTAGAGTGTGAGTCATCATATTATCTAATTATGTCTTTTTTTTAACACTATGTAACTTTTTGCGCTCTAGCGGTTAATAAACAGAACTGCACACATCCCGCGGAAGAACATTCCAACCGGAGCTACTTCTCTAAGTTTATGTCTATGGCGATTCACGCAGGTATGTGTTCCTCCGCAGCGGTGACGCCCCGCCCAGGCTACAATAGTCCAAATATAAGTACTTATTATAAGTGTACCGTAGTGATTCGGAATAAGACAAAAACGCGGGTTGGAAGATGAATTCATGATCGCTCATTATATAGCCTACATTCAGCAAATATTGAACACAGAAAAAGTTACATAGTGCTGCTTTAATCTCTCAATTTCTATTCAAACATATACCAGTTAACATGCAAAGCCTTTGTCCTAAAGTCAGCTCACACATGACAATCATCACTGATGCTGTTTGACTCATTTCAAGCCATTTGATTGATTGATTGATTGATTTAAAGTGAGTTCAGATCATCTGGGCCATATTTTGACAAAGAATCTGTCAAAAAAGCATCCATTCATCTACTTTATTCATTCATTTATTTGTTATTGATCATTTATGCTGAAGATTATAAGCACTATCAGTGCAACACATGTCACTCGCTGGCTGACAGCAGCTAATAATATCCCGTTGAGAGCTGACAGTCTCTGTGCAGTGATGCTGGTGACAGAGTGAGAGGAAAACAATCAGACTTTCATCCGAGCAAACAGTCCTGATGATGTCCCACACTCTTTCTGAGTTTTCCCTCTCAGCGTCAGACTTCTTCAGCATGAATAACAGCCTCAAGCAGGAGCAGCCGTTCTCCTGACATTCATGCCCTGCTAAAACCCTAAAGAGCTTTACAGGTAACTTAGGCAACATTGATTAGGTTATGCAACCCTGTATTGTATGGAGAGCAGACCGATGATTTAGACGTGTGTCAAACATGTAACGTGATTACACACAGAATGAAAGTGAGTCAAACAAAAGCACACAAACAGCTCTGACCCCAAGTGTGAGCAAACAAAGCTTTGCTTTAGTACAGCATTTTCTCAGATTACGTTTTCTCGCTCAGAAAGAAATTACAAAGACTTAAAGCACATTACACAACAGAAAAGCAGCAAACAGAGATTTTTATTCCTTGTTGGCTGCATTACATTGCAGATATTTTCCTGTAACAGCACTTCAAGGCACAGTCTTTAAAACCAATTCTACTTGAAAAATGCCAATTCAGTTACATTAATTGCTCTGTTTTCCACTTAGGTGGCGTGTTATGCACATTATGGTCAAATGTATTGGACTGATTGAAGATTCAGACTGATCTTGTAATTAATTAATTTCATTTTAATTGGTGCTTTTTTTTGTACAAAAGTAAAATAGATACATATTATAGATACAGAATAGAAACGGGCAAAAAAAACACTGGTAGACATTTGTCTGATTATTATGTATATAATATAATATAAAAAACGAACAGAACAATTTCTAAAACATTATATTGTTCACATTTATAATAAACGATTGTAAATTAATAATAAATGTTATGCAATTTATTATATTAATTATAATTATATATTTTATGTTGTAATTAGTGTTTAATATACATATATTATAAATTATTAATAATTCATTAAATAATTTAATTTAAATATAATAATAAAATGACTAT